GGTTGCGATGTTTATCGCGCGTCACCTGTCATGGCGCGCACCGACGTCAGAGGTTCTCTTAGACTTCATAATCAAAGTTACCATGGTTCTCTGTGATAAAGATCGAGCGCATCATCACATAACTTGCATTATCACACTTTCTCATGCGACCGGCTGTGGGGAACGCGAGTGATTCGCTTACCTAACACGTTCGCGATGACCCGTTTCTAGCGCTCTCGCCATTCTGCTTGGCGAAAACTGTGGAAATCAGCAAAACTGTAGTATTTTACCTCCGTGGCAATACACAACGCAACAGTAGCGTCGACCGGGGTGTTTTTTTTTTTTTGTAGAGCGCGGAGCTGTTTGGTCTGCTCTTGCTTTCGCCGTCGTTCTGGCGAGTGAACAGGCAAGCACTTTATGGCGGTTTGGTGACGCGTCCGACTGGCGGAGAGTAATTCAAAGCTCTTTTTCTGAGTGTTCAATGCGCAAATGCACCTACTATTTGGCTCAATCGTTGTTTCGTAGGCGGTAGTTGCACCTGGTTGTGCAGCAAACTGTGCAAGAGAGTCGGGCTTTGCACTACTCAAAACTGCGTCTACAGGTGGCGCTGCGTTTCCGCAAAACTCCAGAGTCTGACGTCTATTGCCGTGCTATCTTTTTGCCAACTGAACACGCGCCTTCCACTGGCGTGTTCGTGGCAGTAGGTCTTCTTTCGAGCAGGTTCTTTCGTTCCACATGCAGCATGGAAATTTCCACTTTCGAAGGCAGCAAAGGTGCACACGCAGCACTTTAGTGCTGCTCCTTTCGCTACTATCAAATATTGCAGATAAATATAAGGACAGGTGGTCACCTGGGGCACTCGAATTATGGCGGTAACGCGGCTGTGATTGGATACGTCGTGAGCGCGGTGAAATTGAATGTGAGGCATCGTAACCGCGCGATGATATGACTTTTACTTCTGCGTACGTGCGTGCATAGATTACGTGATAAAGCTGACAAATAAAATGTGCCGCTTGGCGTGAGTACTGCTCCTCAGCAAAAGCAAACGTGGTGGGCGTACCTGATCTTCGCCACGGGTGTCTGACAAACTGATTGACTCGTGAACTCGGATAGAAACTCGTTGATTCTGAGAAGGCCCGAGTTCAACTCGGGACTGTGATGGTGCCAGTGGGACTGTCAAGCGTTTGATGTGGTGAACGCTAAGCGCCAGCTTCCTTGCATTGAAATAATTTGGTAAGCTTACACAACTTGTGCAAGGCTGGAGCCATGGAAGATCTTGTGATAACCTAGTTTCTTGCAGCTTTTTAAGTTGGTCGTCTACCCATGTGCGTGATCGGCTTCGAAGTGAAGATTCCATCAGCTCTGTCCTAAGTTTGATTGAACCAATTGACTGAGGTTTAATGACCATTACACCGAGTTGTATTGCCTTCATTGATGATGCTTCAATTAAAAGGTAATTATCCCGGGTGCAATTAACAAGGTTATGAACAGTACAAAGCTATTAAACGTAATACTGATTAGCATGATACTAATTGTCATGATATTAGTAAAGACTGATTAGCATGGTTTCACTTGGCGTGCTCATGATAAACATCGCGTTAATTAGCATAGTTTAGTCATCTCATCAACTAGCACACATTAGTTAGCCCGCTTTTCGCTTTACATGACTTCATCAGCTTGGTCTTCTTAAGATGACTTGGCATAATTAGCTCGGTCATAGCATGTCCTGGCCTAACTAGCGGAGTATACGTCCAGCCAAATAGCTAATTAGCCGGCCGCACGTGCTCAGGTGCTAGCGGGATATGACAACGAATACGACGCGCACCGGGCGAGCAGCGCAGAATGTACAGGCTGACACGTGGCCTCGGATTTAGCTGCAGTCGCTATGTAAGACGCTCGGCCGGTTGTGATCTCAGAGGCAACCGTGCTGATTATTCTAAAACAGACTTAGTGCAGGCATTAAAAGCTTCACATTTATTTTAAACACTCCTGCCTCAAAAAATATGATCACGAAAAGTTTCTGACACTTTATTGCATGGGTGAACTTCTGCGCTCAGTGGAACGACAAACTTGGCAAGTGAAAGAAGATGCCTCTGGTTTGAAAACACCACCCTACCTAATCGACCGTACATGACGCTATGACTGGCTTCATCGTAACCAATGAAACGCAGCGCAATGAGAGGTGGATTTGACTTTTTTGTCTTGTTGGCTCATTTATAAGGGGGTGTCGCCAGAGCTCGAGAATATCCCGAGTTTTGCGAAACTCGGCCGATCCTGCATATAGCACCCCTGATGCCTCTTCACACCGAAACACCACTGTCGCCTACCGGTAATGAGGACTATGCGACGACGACAGCTCTAACTGCCACCATAAAAACTGATCTTCCTGTGGCGCAAAAGGAAGATCGCATAGCACTACTTCGAAAACACACAGTGCTTCTTTTAACATTCATTTCAAGCTTCTATAGCCCACTTCCGTCGCAGTGCACTGCATTGATACTGACGGCAATTCGATTGTACGGTGCCGACTATACCCCAGAGCACAAAATACGCTGCTCACCTTCCGCAATGTGCAAAATAATCGAAGACAACGCCACTGACATGCCGAAACGTGACATCATGCTGCCATGGCCAAGTTCTTGGTCGTCGCCTGTTTTGCTGGTGCGGAAGAAGGACGACTCGGTACAAATATGCGTCGAATAGCGACCACTTATGAACGCTTATAGACTCATATCTAATGCCGTGAATCGACAATGCCCTTCACTTTCTTTAGGGTGCTGAATATTTTTCGTCTCGATCTCCGATCAGTGTGTTGACCAATTACTATGAAGTGGACGAGGACAAGACGGCCTTTGCTGCACCTGATGACCTCTATGAGTTCTTTGTAATGCCTTTCGCTTTAACCAACGTTTCTGCAACGCTTGAGCGTACGATAGACGCAGATATATGTGGAAAACCTACTTGTGTTATCTGGAAGCCATCGTTATTTTTTATTCCACTTTTAGTGACAATCTTGAGCGGACGAAGTTTTGACGCGAATTACTGCCGCTGGGATTGAGGGTGATAGAGAAAAAAATAAGGGGAAAAGATGGAATCGCATAGCCATGTATAGTATGATGAAAGAAAACTGAAGGTGAAGGGGGAGGGGAGGGTAAGGCATAGCTATAGTAAGGGGTCGGGAAAAGAGGCGAAAGTGAGGAGCAGAGAAAGAAAAGACACCAGCTGCGCTGATTCCTTCATCTCTAACTCCCAGCCGATCCATCTTTTTTATTGTGAAGAACACTTAGCAAGAACAGACGCTTTTGCTTGTACCTTGAATATGTGACAATACCTGAAAAGAAACGATTCCTCAAACTTACTTCCTTCATTGATTCATAACGAGGGTCTAGTCCTGACAGACTAAATGCTTGCAGCTAGTACGCGAGAGCATATTGGTCAGCTGCCCACACGTTAAAGGATCATGTGCTACATGACGTTAGTTGGGAAAGAAATAGTTAATTACGCGCACATTCGAGGCTGCGAGCGGCGCTGATTAACACTCCTGTAGGGTTTGCACGCACATAAATACCCCACAAAGGGGATCGATGGCTACAGATCCGGATGTTTTCACAATTCTGTGAAAACATCCGGATCTGTAGCCCATACGGCTAGTTAGTGATTTATTACAGAGAAGATGGCATGTTGTGATTTAACGACCGAGTACCATCCTCACACACAGAATTCCATCCCAAATCACATATTCTGACACGCTGCGTGGAAAAAAAGAAAAAAAAATGCTATAGGCCTGTGTGCTCAGATTTGAGCGCACGTTAAAGATCCCCGCAAGTGATTGAAATTTCCGGAGCCCCCCACTACGGCGTCTATAATAGTCATATGGCGCTTTCGAAACGTTAAACCTCACATATTATCTATCTAAAAAAAAGAACAAGGCTAACGTGACGTGTTCACACAGTTACTACGATACGCTTGTAACGGTTCAACTAACGCCCCCCATTTTTTTCTTGCCTTCGTAATCTGCTTACTTTAATTAACGCTGTGTCAAAGAAAGAAACGAGCCCGCAAAGTTATCTCCCTTCACTCCTTCAGCTGCGTCATTCATGTACAGCTGTGTTGCAACGTAACACGCATGTCCAGCGTACTTTACATCATCCCAGTTTGTTTGAGGGAGCTAACCGTCTCAAAGAGACTGTGGCTATGAGAGACGCTATAGTGGAGAACCGTGGACAGTCACCTGGGGTTCTTCAACGTGCACGGAGCTGTGCTCTAGCATTTGACTTGATTTGATTGATATGTGGGGTTTAACGTCGCAAAACCACGATATGATTATGAGAGACGCCGTAGGGGAGGGCTCTGAAATTTCGACCACCTGGGGTTCTTTCACGTGCACTCAAGTCTGAGCACACGGGCGTACAACATTTCCGTGTCCAACGGAAATGCAGCCGCCGCAGCCGGGATTTGATCCCGCGACCTGCGGGTCAGCAGGCGAGTACCTTAGCCACTAGACCACCGCGGCGGGGCCCTCTAGCATTTCGCCTTCACTGAAATGTGACCGCCATGGCCGGGTTTGAAGCCGCTTCTTAAACTTAGGGTCAATAGCCGTAACCACAGCGCTATTGCGGCAGTTTTTTAGAACTTTCTGGGAAGCGTATATCTGCCCCTGGAAGAAAACAGGTTTGCGAAGTCAGCTGCATTCACTGCTCCGTCATCTACTTCAGCAAGCAACACATTTATGGCCAGCTGAGAATATACGTATGCTTACCATGAATACTACCGGTTTCAGTACTTCCCGACTGTTGCCCTTGTTCAGATGCATATCTCGCATCTTAAAACGACTTAAAAACGGCCGATTCAAAAGTAGTGGGCTTGACGCCAATCAACGCCTGTTGGTGCCTTTGGCTGTTCACGCGAGTGCTCCACCTGAGCCAAACTCATGAATGACAGGCGCCCCTTTCCGCGCAATAACTGCAGTGTGCCCCGCCTTCTTCGGCGGAGATCGAACCAGTTTCGCGCCAGACCGGTCCTCGGCGGCAGGAGTGAGTCAGTAGCCGTGATGGAGCCGCGGACGACGCTCCTTCTTGCGGTGAGTGTCTTTGTTTCCGTGCAGTTTGTTCACAGCCCAGTTAATTTTTGCCTTTATGCGTCGTCCACGATCAACTCGCATCGCACGTGGCGGTAATTGCGGCGACTTGAACGTGTGATCCGGCACTGAAAATACACGAAGCATATGAGCCACTTCTATAGGCGAAAAAAGCGCGATAATCTGTCAGGATGGGTCATTACATAGAGCGAACGTTTCTTTTTTTGTATAGCGTGAATCAAAGCGTCATTCATTCTGACAAAGAACTGCATAATACTCTCAAGTGGGATAAAAACCATTAAATATTCTTGCACATGTACTAAAACAAAACAACAACCACAAAAAAAACTGCATGAGGCTATGGCAACGATTCATAAAACCCTTTTACTGGGGCCCCCATAAACAGCAGCAAACGCTGATGTGTGTATAACAACATTGCCGTTTGAAAAACTGAAATTAAGCCATTTGGTTTTATAATTTGCTGAAAGTAGCCTAGCCGTTTATTTGTGTTTCTTGTTTTGGGAGTGGGATCGGAGCGCACTGTTCTTGCCTTGTTTTTGTTTTTTCTTTCATTTATTTCTTCACTAGGCGCAGGCTCGAATAATTCATCCGCCGTGTGGCGGCTTGTATCACAGCTTTTACGAAAAAAAAAAAGGTTTATGGAACGATGCTTGCGGGCTGTGTACACTGTTAAAAATGGTAGTAAAAATATTGTAACCACAGCATTTGTCGTTGCTTTTGGGTGGGGTAAGTCTCACGAACGTCTCTGCCAGGGGCGTAGCCAAAATGTTTTTTTTTTTGGGGGGGGGGGGGGGGGGAGTTCTACCATATTTTATTTATGCTCTTGCGAGAGTTTGTACGTGTGCGTGAATATATACGCAAGCAAAAGTGAATATTTTGACTCCTCCACCCTCACCTCCTCAGGCTGCGCCTCTGTCTCTTGTGTTCGGTTTCTTACTTTCTGCGATCATATTTGTGGGTTAGAAGCTTCGTGAACAACTTTAGTAATCAAAATAGTGTATCAAGTAAGGGCGGAACTGCTTTATTATTCGCACTGACCTCATGCATATACCAGCTTGAGCGATGTCACCTTAGGCGTCGCTTAAGTTTTATTATCGTATAAATGCGCGAGATGCAGTAATTAAAACACTGTCGGGGGTTTCACCTCCCAACGCCACAATATAAATATGAAATACGCTGTAGTGAAGGAATGCTGTATTTTTAACGCGCACTGACAGGGGCGCCTCCATCTAAATGCGACCCCCGGGGTCGAATCCACGACGCTCGGGTCAGCCGTCGCGCACCATAACCGCTTTACCGCGGCGGGCGTAAATGTTGTCATCATTACTTAGCCTGTGAAGTAAAGAATGCTACCTGCGTACGTGACTAAGTAAAAGTGACTACCTCCATCGACCATGGTGTACGTCTTATACTGTACTTTTGACGATATTAGGAAAAGTTTAAACAAACTATAATTCTCTTCATTATAGTGGAAAGCATGTTGTGCTCCTTAATCGTAAATGAAGATGTAAGGCATGCAAATCTGTCGAATAGCTCGGTTTCATATCTAGGTTCATGGCTGCTCTTTGGAATGCCGTGTACCACTCCAAAATTGGGTCATATATAGTCTTAAAGTTGCTGTTAGAATATGCGCGCTTTCTCGTTTACAGATCATTCATGACTCCGTGTATGCATTGTTATCTGAAGTTCTTATTGTGGTGTGTATTTACTCGAGTACTGATATGAAGTGAACAGAAATTATCAGCGGATCAACAGAAGAAAATTTTTACTACGTTGTCGCTATAGCCTGAGTCGCTCTGGGGCATTGGACCACAAAAACCAACCAACCACACTGCTTTACTTTTGTTATTTGAGCTCCTACTTTTATAGTAAGTTCAACTTGTTATGAAAACACTGGCAGCAGACGTAAACGAAATGGCTCTAAACACACAGTTAGCGATGTTACCGAACAGTGTTAGTAACCGTACTAACAGGGTAGTCACAGTCAAGGCAGTAAAGCTACCTTGAAACAATGTAGTATGTAGAAGCTACCTAAAACTTTGAAGTGTTCCTTCTCTATAGATAGCTAGTGATTTATGTAGTGTCAAGTCGTGGTAGTAAAGTTAATATATTGACGATTACTGCATGCGGCAATTACTACTGTCACAGAAAGTGAACACTGTGGCAAGTACTTACTGTACGATGGTTATTGAAGGAAACCTGTGTAAAATGTAATATATATGTATAGTTGCTTCAGTATAGCGTCCGTGCACTCACGGTTAACACGTATAGCGATAATGTCAAGTAGCCTTCAGAAACCCATTAAATTCATTACGCCACATGCAGCTCATGTGGTTTTAAAATTCTTCACTTTGGTGGTTAAAAAGAACGACATTATCGTTGACGATGTAATTTTTTTTCGTGGTTGTTGCAGTTGTGACTGAATGTACGAACATCGCAACCTAGAATTACCAATGGCATAACTACGGAAGCGAAAAAACAAGGATAAATAAGAGCGCTGGCTTCAAACAATCATTTGATAGCGCAGTGGTGTACATATATAGGGAACAAAGAAGAGAATGGGCATGCGTAGAAGGGTGCAGTTAACAACCACCGTGATACAATGCCAGCAAAACTCTTGTCTCTTGTTGATTGAGCGAGAAACAAATACACAACATAAAAATAGTAAATATACGCTATGTCTTTTTGCATCAGTGCAACTGATGGGGAACCTGCACATGGACCGTCAAACTTACGCATCTGATAAATTTTAATTATCTAACGTGTGGCCTGCGAGTGGTGCTCGCCTATTACATCGCAACGCTCAAATAGGGGCACGCAGCCGCAGTCTCGGCAGTGAATTCTGAGGTGCCCTTGAACCAATGAGATAATTGAAGCCTATTAGACAAGTAAGTTTGACGGTACATGTGTAAGTTCTCCATCAGTTGCGCTGTTGCAAAATGAGATAGTGTATCTTGATCATTTTTAAGCTGTGTATGTGTTTCTAGCTCAATCAACAAGAAACAAGAGTTTTGCTGATGGTGCATTGTATCGCAGTGGTTGTTAACTGCACCTTTCTACGCATGTCCATTCTCTTCTTTTTTTTTTCGCCTATATATGTATGCACCACTCCGCGTTTAAATCATTGTCGAAAGTCAGCGCTCTTCTCTATCCTTGTTATTTCGGTACCAGCTGGTTCGACTTCTAGGTTGCGCTGTTCGTACATTCAGTTATGGCCTACTAATTTTTCAAGTATCAACGCTTCATAACATGCAGTATAGCTTAAGAATACACGAAACACAAGTTTCTCGAGCTCCACCCTCAAGTGCGCACCAAAAGTACGAGCTTCGGTTGGTTCGTGGGAACGCACCAACCGGAACTACGACGTTGGTAGAGCCTAGTTGCACTCTGACGCCCAGTTTTGGCCACTCACTGATCCGACTGCGGGAGCGCTCTTTATTTACCGGAGGCTCGAGTATAGAGGCGCTAAGTTTTGCAGCTGGTTACAGTGTGTGTCATAACGACAAACAGCCCAACGTAATTGAACAAGTGCATTTCGTATCGTCAACCGATAGCTCTGTAATTAGCTCGGGCTTCGCGCCGTTGAGCTGATCGCGTAGGCCACGCTTCTACAGTGCTGCTGTTACAGATTACACCGCATACCTCTGATGTCAATGCATTCGCTGAGGGTCTCAACACGCCCATTTGCCTCAGTTGCTGCTGCTTCGCTGCATAAATTGCTGTTTCTATTCACTTTTCAGAACTATTCTACATATTGTAGGCTCAGGGCCAAGCGTCGGCTGAAGCCCTTAGAAAACAGACAGAGACAAAGTATGGAAAATGATCTTTACAGGCCTCCTACCCAAGCTCGACTGCCAGGCGGCCGTTCCATCATGCGCGCGTGAGCTCGTGCGCTCGAGTACCAAACCACCCAAGGTGTTGCTCCCCACACTTCACCTCAGTGATTTTCCCTCAGTGGTTCTCGAGCTAGCCATAGGCCTGAAATCCCACATCTGGCAACCAACGGGACGAATCCCGTCTCTGTGCCACGGCCATCAAGTCAGCATGGCTGTCTGCGACCATGGCACTGATGACGCCGCTGACCATGCCAATATTTTAGGACCAAGACGCGAGGCAATGGGTCCTCGATTTCATTGATAATCTTTTCGTTTACACGACCAATCACGGCTTCTCGGACTCCGACGTGCTCCGGCGAGTCCTACCAAATGTCCTGCTCGGTGTCGCAGAACGATGGTGCCATCTCCAGCTTCCATTCTAGTCCTGGAACCAGTTTGTCTCAGCATTCTGGGAAGAGTTGCTGGAGGTAGCTTACGACTACCGTATACGGCGTGAAGTGAACGTCCGAACGCAACTACCAGATGAGGGTCTGCGAGATTTTGTTCGGGACATGCGGGAGCTATTCCGTCGGGTTGACCCCAGTAAAGGTTTTGTACGTTCGGCGGCCATGCCATGATGGATGGATGGATATGGCGGTACCCTTTAGATCGGGCTGTGGCTAGCGCCACCAAGCCGTAATTCTTAATGAACCAAAAACTAGATTTTATTTAAAGTGACGTTGAGGATTCGTACTTTGCAGTGAAGGGTTTAATTTTCACTCGTGCCTTGACTTTAGCCACCAATCAGATAACCTCATTCTAGTTAATTCTACCCGCTTAAAGTCTATTTTGCCCTCTCTGTCCCTAAATCCAAGTGCTTTGAAAAACTCTGCCCTTGTAGGTACATCATCATCCTGAACTATAGGGCGGAGCCCTTTACAGAACATTATCAAGTGTCCGGCAGTTTCTTCTTCCTCTCCACATGCACTGCATACCGCGTCTACCCCTCCGTATTTGGCCCGATATGTCTTGGTTCGCAATACTCCCGTCCTGGCCTCAAACAGTAGAGAACTACCTCGAGTATTATCATAAATCCTTTCCTTGGCAATTTCCTGCTTAAAAGTTTGATCGACCTCTAGTGCGGATTTTTTAATCATGCCAATTCTC